AGTATTGATTAGGAATTCCTTCCTTCTCCTTGGAGGAGATGAATCACAATCTGTGGTTTGATCTACATCCTTTGCTCTGCGGGGTAAAAATGGAGATGAAAGGCAAAGGATTTTAGGGTCTGGGCTCCTTGTGGCTGAGATTCCAGTTCCCCTAGGAGTGGAAGAAAGCAGCTGAGGCTGGCTGGAGGTGAGAGGAGACGGTGGTGCTACTTATTTTTGTTAGCATGAAATTGGGACTGGCCTATTGCCTCAGGGAAACCTCTCCATGTTTCCACTGAACATTCTAGAAAAGCTAGGAGAGAAGGGTGGAGAAATTACCTACAAGGTCAGTCAGTAAATGAAGTGAGGTAATTAAGAAGAACCAGCACCAACCAGTTGGTCCTTCATTTTTCTTGGCAAACTGGGTTTGATGCCCTTGGCTAGTTTGAACCCTGCCCATCGCAATGGGCTAGAAAAGCACTACATTAGCAGAGGTCAAGGCACTTACTGCCACGCCATGCCAGTGTGGCCGTTTTCTTAGGAAGAAGAGTTCGCTGTCCATGGTAAGACGATTTCCGTCTTGCCATCGGGTACTTTCTGCTCTGGCTTCGCCATTTCAGGACATGATCATTTGACAGCTCCTGCGGGGTGTGGGGAGCAATCTGATAGCGGTTCAGCCTTCACTGTCTCGGAGGGAGTTCCATCCCGATCCCCGAGAAGGTGAGCTCTCTCCGCTGTGTGTGCCAAGCTTATGTAAACTGCGGCTGTGGCAGCGCTGCGGCTGTGCAGAGCTGCGGGGGCGGCACAGCGCTGAGCGCCCAGCACTAGGATCTGCAGGCGCTGCAATGCTGCAGTGCAGAGGCTTGAGGAGCCCGCGGCGGGGTCCCACCAAGAGAGTGATGAAGCCCAGAGCCCTAAGCCTATAATGCTCAGGCATGGGAATGGGGGGTGGACTGCCTTGTCGCGGTTTGCTTGTTGACGATGGGAGGGGTGTACTGTGTGAAGGAGAGTGCTGAGGACTCTGGAGTACATTCTGCTGGAGGAATTGGGCTAGGTCCTTCTGGGCGCGCTGCTGCCCTCTAGGGCTTAGAGCATAATGACAAGAAATAGGACAAGGCCGGGATAATAAAGCCTCAGTAGAACACAGAGCCTGAGAGCCTTGGGGGGAAACGCAAAGCTGGGCTTGTTTTTCTGGAGGTTCGCACACCTATCGCCTCTTCCCCTGCAGCTGCTATTCTGTTTTAGGGGAACAAGGTGTGGAACATTTCGTCTGGTTTCTGCAAATCTGAGGCGGTTTTCAGGAGGGCAGAGGCTATCTGTGCACTTCAGCGTTTATCCAAATCAATACAGCTGCTCTCTTTTTAACGCGGCAGAGAAAGCTTTCCATTAAATTTACAGCCTTGGCAACAGCAGTTCACGTGGCCCTGACTTGCTTGGTGTTGGGAATGTGGCTTGACTTCCTGCCTCATCTGTGAAATGACCTTTTATCTTTTTCTGGCACTTTTTAAAAAAGAAAATGGAACTGAAGTTGCTACAGTGAATAATGATGTAATTTAACAGCTGCCAATATTAAGTGGAAAATTTGTGCTAAAACATGCTTTTTAACACGGTAAAATCATGGCTCACATACAAATGTAACATGACTACACGACGGAGATTTTACATAACCCAATAAATAATCAGGGAATGAGCAGGATATCAAATGAGCTCAAAGGAGAAGTAGGAAGAACACACACGTGCACACAAACACATAATGCCCCACAGTGGGATGAAGTAGAATGTTTGAAATTGCTTTTGTATTTTCACAAGATGAAATCGAATCTGTGCCAGACAAAAATATTCACTTTACAGAGGAAAAGTCATTTACTTTGCCATTAAATCTTAAAACTTAACTTCTAGTCCTTCAGGGTTGTAAAATTAATAGGTAAATTACAGCAGCCAGGGTGCGCAGCCTATAGATTCAGTCCCAGAGAAGCCTCTTGGCCAGCGCCCACGCTGCCGCTGAACAGGCCTTCATTGTTAATGATGAGCTGGACGATATCATGACTTTGGACTTGGAGACAGAGGTATAGTCAAAGTGAAAAGCACACTGATGATGTGACTGGAGGAGAATCTGCAATTATTAAGTTGCTACCTTAAGAAACATTTTGGGTATCTAGGAGCCAGACCACCATCACCATCCTCACGATGTGAGGCAGTGTAGAAATCTCTGAAGTTGCGCTTTGCTGATTGGCTTAGAGAGATACTGTTATCTGTTCATTTCTTTGTAAGCATTGCAGCCTTCAGAGAGATCTTGCCAAGGTATGGGGGATCCAAGGCAGGGGAGATTTAGACCCCAGACAGATGAATCAGTACTAAGCTAGTGGGTCACAAACTAACGTAGCTTTCTCTTCATTGAGTCCCTGAGCCATATTTGTGCTAACATTTCTAACCTCTGCAGTCCCCATTGTGTGGATCCTGAGCTGCACCCACACCAACACATTTGAATTCCATCCCCTCGGTATTTATATTAGCGCCGGCAGTCTCTGTCATGGAATGGCAGAAAAACTATTGTGACTTTGCATACTGCTTTGACAACAACTATGACTCCAAGAGGCACTGAACATTAGACCGATTGAGACCTTTGGGGAAGTTTTCTCCTAGCTTTACAAACCAAGCCACAGTCACACTGAGTGTCACTCACAGACTGATGGACATGATGACATTCAAACAATCAGTGGGCTGAACTTTTACTTTTCTTCCTTGTTTTGAGATAAGACCAGCTAGTTCCTCAGCACCGCCACTGGGAGGACTGGAGATGAGGAGCGGCCGATGGGCAGAGAGTTACAGTGCTGGATGATATGACAGAGCTGGGCGAGAGCAGAAAGTGAAAGAAAACACACCCTGATAGATCAAATATGATATATGCATGGACAGGCCAAGCGATCTCTTTCCCTTGCTTGGGTCACATAATTAAGTCTAATGAATGGAAACCGATCGTTGAGGGAGTTCAGAGCCTATTTTCAGTTGTCATGATCCAAAGGCAGCAATCAAAATGCAGATGAGCTATCGCTGTCCTAGCCCAGGAGAGGCACGGGTTTCTCGCTAATGAAGGGAGAATGGCAAATGGATGCTTGTCATGCCTTCCCTGTCTCCGGTGGCTTCTCAGAGTGGCAGGACAGGTACAGAAGGCTGGCAGACATTTCATGTGCTGAAACGGTGCCACCCAGTATCGACTGCCTTTCTCCAAGCGAGTCTGAGTGCTGCCCTAATGCTGTCTTCTCTCGCTGCTGGGAAAGAGGCAGGGAGCCAAGGACTCTCCTTTCTCTCTCCTTTGGCCCTAACCTGACCAAAGCTAAGTGGCTTTCCCAGAGTATGCGAGCGGGCCATGGAGGACCGTGAACCAGAAAGGGCGCTCCGGGGCATACAGTTTGGCAGCGTTAGCCATCCATTCTCACTCTGACCTTCAGCCTCAATAATTAGAGCCTTCTTGTCTAACTGAACAAGAAAGATCTGGGGCAGTGTGGGACAGAATTAGAAATAACCCACCGGGTGATCCAAAGTCACCCCAGTGAGGACAGCCTTGAGCTGTAGCCTAGTGGAGAAGACCAGGCTGCTGGGGGCAGGCAGGGCCGTCCTGAGCTGTGTGCTTGTTTGTTTGTTTTTGTTTTAACAGAAAAATGGCTCCCAACAAATTCTCTGACATGCAAGTCATCCTGGGTGAAATCGAAGTGTACCCCTTCCCCAGCAGGGATGGTAAATTAACATGCCGTTGCCACCGCAGCTGTGGGGTCACCACTCAGTCTCCATCCCGTCCGTCCCGGGAGAGTTTCCTTCTCTTCATGCCAGCACTGCTATATTTAGCTCTTCCAGCATGTGCACTGTCTATATTTAGTGCCTAAAAGTCAGAGTGCAGCGTGCAATTCGTCAAGCTATCGGCCATCTCTCCATTCCATTCGCACATGTGGAAAAATCCTTCCAAGAGACTGCCTTGCTCTCTGGTACGTGGGGTGGTGGTGATGGCGGTGGAAGCCATCCTAGGAGTGACAGGTTGAACTCGTCGGCCGGAGGGGTTTCCCGCTGTCTCTGGTGTGCAGTGATTGCCTGAGAGTGCCAGACCCTGAGCCAAGAGTCAGGGGATGGGTGCGGCTCCGGAGGGCAGATCCTGCTGTGCTCGTGTGCTCCCTGTTGAAATCACAGAGAACTGGTCATGGTTCATTAAGTCTCCTACTTAGTTGCCACCTTTTGTTGCAGGATTTCCATGAGACTCTTCAAATAAATGAGGGGCCCTCCCGCTGTAGCTTTTCCTCCATGACTCTCTACACCAGTTCCACGTCAGACTTCAGTGTGCAAACAAATGGCTTGGCTCCGACTTGGGGTCTCTGGTGTAGGCCTTTAGTCCTATCTTTCCAGTGAGCTCACTGGAGGTTCCCGGACTGCAGGCTGAGCTGGTGGTTCTGTTGTCACCCCTGGTTATGTGCTGTCTTAGAGCATAAGGTGGTGGTTCTCAACCTGTGGGTCATGACCCCCTCGGGTCATATGACCCTTCTACAGGGGACGCGTATCTGATATCCTGCATATCAGAAATTTACATTGTGATTCATAACAGTAGCAAAATTGCAGTTATGAAGTAGCAGGGAAATAGTCTTTTGGCTAGGGGCCACCACAACACAAGGAACTATATTCAGGGGTCACAACATTAGGAAGGCTGAGAACCGCTGGAAGGGAACCAGAGTTGCTCTGAGGAAGAATCAATGCCAGCATCCCTGGCTGGAAGAGAGCACAGGTAGTGCTTCAGGAGGTGAAAGTGTAAGTTCACTGGTGACAGCATTTCTGAATATGTGCTGAGTGTTCCTCATTTCCAAGTCCCCCCACTACTGCCATCAGAACTGCAGGCCAGTGTGATTGCAAGTCTAAAGCGATGGTTTCCCCATCCTGGCACAAGACAAGAAGACTTAAGTTCTTAAGTTTTGACTCAGGTCCTGAACTGCTCACATTTTCCCATCTAGAGACTTCATTTTCCTCGGAATAAGAACGGCTGCAGAGGCTCACTGACTGGAGGTGAGGTAGAGACCCACATTTTCCTTTGGAATAACCCATGAGAAAGCTGCCTGAGTCTACGAGAGTAAACAGCACACCGGCCGTGAGTCTACAAGAGGCAATGGCGCACTGGCCATGAGTCTACAGAGTCCATAGCACACTGGCCGTGAGTCTACAAGTGTCAGCAGCACACTGGCCATGAGTCTACGAGAGTCCACATAACAGTACACTGGCCGTGAGTTGTTGTATGGTGTGTGTGTGGGGGGGGCGCTTGTTCATCCCTGCCACCCAGCTAACTTAACCCAGAAATAACCACACAGAAACTGTATTCATTAAATCACTGCTTGGCCTATTAGCTCTAACATCTTATTGATTAACTCTTACACCTTAGTTTAGCCCATTTCTGTTAATCTGTACATCACCACATGGCAGTGGCTTACCAAGAAAAATTCTAACCAGCGTCTATTTCAGTTGGAGGATCAATGGCATCTCTCTGACTCTGCTTTCTTTTTCCCAGAATTTAGTTCTGTCTTCTCCGCCTACCTAAGTTCTGCCCTATCAGGCCAAAGCAGTTTTCTTTATTCATTTACCAATACAAGCAACACACAGAGGGGACTCCCACATCAGTGAGTCTACAAGAGTCAACAGGACACCGACAATAGAGTGGGACAGCTGGGCGGTGGTGGCGCACGCCTTTAATCCCAGTACTCGGGAGGCAGAGGCAGGCGGATCTCTGGGAGTTTGAGGCCAGCCTGGTCTACAAGAGCTAGNCTTCCTTTCCTTTCCTTTCCTTTCCTTTCCTTTCCTTTCCTTTCCTTTCCTTTCCTTTCCTTTCCTTTCCTTTCCTTTCCTTTCCTTTCCTCTCTCTCTCTCTCTCTCTTTCTTTCTTTCTTTCTTTCTTTCTTTCTTTCTTTCTTTCTTTCTTTCTTCTTTCTTGTGTTTGTCCATCCGTCTGTCAGTCCATATCTTTGTTTCTTTTATTCATCCATCCATCTAGCTAGCTGTTGCGTGTGTGTGTTCATCCATTTGTCCATATGTCTGTCTGTGTGTGTGTCCCTGTCCATCTGTGCAGAAGCATGGGGGTTAAAGGACAACTTGCAGGAGTGTTTTTTCCCCCTTTATGTGAGTTCTGGGGATTTAACTCAGGGCATTAGGCTTGGTGGCAAGTGCCCTTATTTGGTGAGCCATCTCATCAGCTCCTGCCTTTGGTTATTAAGAAATGATTTTAGGCCAGGCGGTGGTGGCGCACGCCTTTAATCCCAGTACTCGGGAGGCAGAGGCAGGCGGATCTCTGGGAGTTTGAGGCCAGCCTGGTCTACAAGAGCTAGTTCCAGGACAGGCACCAAAGCTACAGAGAAACCCTGTCTCTAAAAACAAACAAAAAAAAAAATAGAGTGGGACAAAATGAAATGCGCCATTCAATTAAGGAAGAGGAAGTGACTGCCATTGAGAGGTGTCAGAGGGAAGGTAGTTGTCTTTAAACATTCAGACAAGGCCCTCCTTTGGTTTGGATATTGTGGGAACACAAATGTGTCAGGATTTCTGAGAACCACAGACAGAACAATGAAATTTCTTCACTTTTGTTGTTCCAAGCACCCAGCTTGTAACAGCCTATAACTCCAGCTTTAGGGGTTCTGATACCTTCTTTTGTCCTCAGATCCTTCGGCCCCTTTGGGTACGCACAATTATGTGTAGATACACACACACACACACACACACATGTGCGTCCTCATGTCCATGCTTAAAAATGAAATAAAATCTTGGTGTTGGAGAGATGATGGCTCAGTAGTCAAGTGCCCTTGAGGGTCTTCCAGAGGACCAGAGTTTGATTCCCTTAACCCATATGGAGGCTCACAAACATCTGTAATGCTAGTTCCAAACACTCTTTTCTGGTCTCCTTGTGTACCAGACATATACAGTGGTACCCAGACATTCACACAGACAAACTGTCCATATACTTAAATAAAATAAAATAGTTTTTCATGAACAAATAGTTTTAAAGCTTACTTTAAAATATAAATATCTTCTAGTATTTAACAGGTCAAGAAAATAATATATTGATTGTATATGGTTATAATACTTTTATTATTTTGGTAATACAGACTAAAATATTTATATGCCTAGTTCTTTTACATTCACAGCTTAGCACTCTTCTTTGTAAAGCTTTAAAAGTTACAGTACAAAATCTGTACATGAAGGATTATGGAAGAAGATTCCATTCAAAATAATAATTTTTAAAAAATAAAATCTTGCCGGGTGGTGGTGATGCATCCCTTTAATCCCAGCACTTGGGAGGCAGAGGCAGGCAGATCTCTATGAGTTGGAGGCCAGGCTGGTATACAAGAACTAGTTCCAGGACAGGTTTCCAAAGCTATAGAGAAACCCTGTCTTGAAAGACCAAAAATGAATGAATAAATAAATAAATAAATAATAAAATCTTAAAAATAATGTGGGACAGAATTATTGTTGAGAAAGTTTATGATATGTGAATATAGTACCTAGGGTAACTCAGCGTGCAGGGTTTTTTTGAGGACTAATAGCCTGGTTATTACATTATGAAGCTTATGGTGCCTTCTGAATGGCCGAATAAAGATTACCTTGTTTCTTATCATGAAACTTTAGTAAATGTTGTAGTATCAAGATGATTATTATTTCTTCTTTTACAGAAGAAGTTGAAATAAACTTCCAGGCTGCACCATTCAAGCACAGACAGCATAGTTTGGCCCAGACATGAGACACAACCTCTGGTTCTGTTGCAGAAGAGCAGGACAAGCCATGTGTCCAACACACTTCCCTCTTGGAAGTAGATGGACGATTTAACCTGTGGTCATAGCCTTTTACTCCAATTCTTTACTTCTTAATTTTCTCTTCTAAAAAAGGCACTTAACTGTTGCTCATTATAAAATACGAACTGTGGAGTGAAGAAGGCCATGCTTGCTATTAACTCAACAACAACAATAACAACGACAATAACCACAACAAGCCCTAGAGGACATATCAAACTCTGAATTCTTTGAAGAATTAGGAACTAGTCAAGGAAGGAGGGATGAACTGAGTAAAGAAGAGGTCATTTGCTTATGTTTTAATTATGCTATGCAGTATACAAATAAGTTTCAGGTAGGGTAGAGATGGGATAAGATGAGATCAAGTCAGATAGTTACACCAGACAGACTCTTGTGGCTTAATTGTGCCTGAGAGTTTGAAGCTTATACTAAAGGCTGTAGGAACCTGGCAAAGGGTGGAAATCGGATCAGTAGAAGCAGTGGGGACAAGGATTACAAGGGAAACTGAACCCTGGGGAAGATGTTAGTGACCTTGTGGAGCAGTGCTCCAAGACCACCCGAGGCTGAAGTGTAGTCAAGGAAAATAAAGGAAGAAGAATCCACAGATTCTAATGATATAACCGATCAATGATACATAAAAGTTGACGGAGAATAATGAAGAGTCTCACAGGTTTTGGTGTCTACAAAAACTCTATGAGGTGTATATGATTTGCCAAGACTGTCTTATGAGGATTTGGGACATGTACTTGCATGTACCTGATGATGAGCATCTTGCAGAACACCTGCACCTGCTCGTGCTTTCTAATGCTCTTGATAACCTGTTGGATTTCCATCAGGTTGGCCTTCCAATGACATGGAAAACTTGTAGCTTTGGAGCAGAGAAGCGACACAGCCTCCTGACATCTCAGAAGATCACTCTGGCTATGGATTAGTAAGTAGACGATAGATGAACAAGGATGGGGGAAAGGAGGCCAGTCTTTGAAGTGACAGGAAAGATACTGGTGTCTTTGTGAGAGTTAGTTATGGGCATGAACTGATTATACACAAAGGTCAAGTAACATGTGACTAAGAATACATGTAAATCTATAAATACTGTAAAACTCCACAATTTAGCCTATGCACTGAGTCTCCAGCATGCTTGTTTGAATCCTAGTGTTGTCTAGTTTCTTTAGTACCTGGGCATGCTTACGTATCTGTTTCACAACCTAAAATATTAATTATTTTGTTCCTCAATTTTCAGTATAACAATGTAAACATGGCCCTGATATTTGCAATAAGATGGGTCCACTCTTGGAAACATTGATAGTTCTTATTGTACTGTAGATTCCTTTCTAAATTAAAATACATACTTCACAATAGTAATATCGACAATTATATTTAATAAGAGAAAATTATGTCCAGAATTAAATTTTAAGGTAATAATGTTTGCTTGCTAACAGTTTGCTATAGGTATTATAGTACATTGGGTTACTCTCTGAATATGATCAATATCAGAGACATTTTCAAATCATACCTCCTATTATCTTTGGCATATTCTCCTACTAAAAATGATCTATATTCCATCAATCCTTTCTACCTTTCTGGCTCATTCAAATGCATGCCCTTTCTCCTACCCAAAACTATCTGTTTCAGCTGAGCCTCGGAGATCTTGTTTCCTCGGAGGTTGGACAATAACTTCCTATATTCTATTTTCAGCCTCTTACTTTATCTCTCTGTGTGAGTGAATTCCCTGTCAAACTGAAGCTACTGTCATCAGCTACCCTGTTTTTTAACTTCTGTTCATGGCCAAATTTTTCTGCCCTTCCCCCTCCATTTTTTTTAAAATAATATTTTATATAAACTGCCTCCATTTGATCACCTCAGATGAACTCTTCAGTACTTAAGACTTCTGGCCCTGCTGTCTCTTCAAATGTATCCTTATTGTCTTTATATCCACTTTTTTGCCCATTCATATGAAGTAAAGAACCTGGGATTTTCTCTGAGACAGGAAGCTCTTTGAGGGCTAAAGCAGGAAGGATATGGTGCTACTTACATTTTGTTAAGGTTACTCTGAAAGCTGTGAGTCTGTGCGAGTAAGAGACCAGCAAGGATGCTACAAAACAGTATGGATAGGCTGGACCATAGCAGCCCAGACGGGGGTGCTGGAGGTGGTGAGAAGTGATCAGATTTGTGGGATATTTTGAAGATATAGAGTTGATGGGACTTGCAGGTAGAGTAGAGATTAATGTGAGAGGGGAGACCAGGGTGATGGCAACATACAAACAAAAAGGTAAAAGTAGTATTTGCTATGTTGCTATGTGGCTGACCTATTACAGATGGTAAGAACATTGAATTTTACTCTGTGACATGCGATGAATGAAGGTTTCTAAGCAGACAAATGACATGACCTGACTTACACATTAGAAGATCATTCTAACTGTTGACCAGCAAGTGGACTTGAGCAAGGCTGGAG